AATGATTAACCAACCCCCAAAGCCTTTGGCGATCTATACTTAAAGACCGCTTCAGGATCAAGAGAAGTGCGTAGAGGGGAACTGAATCTGCGGCAAAGGACTGGGAGTCAACAAAATTAAATTCCGTAAGAAATTCCCTTCATGAATGACGGAGAGTCGACTGATGAGAAAGTCGGTTCCATAATTAAACACTATTTGAATCTTAAGCTAATGTCTATATTCAAGGCTTTACAGGAGAGACTATGCATTATTTAAACCATAGTCTATCATTGATTTTTTTTTAGATTTGAAACGGAAAACATTTGTTTATCCCCGGTTTGACTAGGATTACGGACGAATGCTGTAACATAAGTATGTTTCTTGCACCACATATAATAGTAAAAGTTCTCATCGGGTATAGTCCAGGATAGCTTATCAGTGATCGTATCTTTGCGAAGAAACAACCTGTGCCAGCTGGATCGTTTTCTTGAACTACAAAGGCCAACATAGAGCTCGAAAAGTCCTTGTATTGTCTTTTAAAAACCCATATAATTAACGGCTAATTCGGCCAAACAGTAGACTAATTATGTGGGCAGATAAATACAGCGGGCAGAGTGGTACGTCCCGTTATCTGCGTATACTTTCTTGTTACCTGCGTCGATCTATATATAGAAACACAGTAAAAGCTTGCTGTACTGCCGTAATCTTGTAAACGAGCCTTCATGTCCTAGCTGGATTCGAATTGAGGTAGAAGAACACTAGTCAATTCTTAGAGCTAATTGCGATTTTGGTACGATCCTGCCAGTGATAGCTATTTATTAGACGATAACGTTGTTTCAATTGTTGTAAATCAATCTAGTAAATGCTCAAAGAGAGATGCGGGGGAGGAACTATTTCCTTTGGTTCTCATCGTTCAGTCGGTATTCTTTCTAGGTAGCACTTGTGCTAGCACAGTGTAACATAAATGAGCCTTACGTCCTATCCAGACTTTTGCTCGACTAAAGTGTTATATTTGCAAACAGAACGCGCAAGACCTCTACGTGGTATGCGTAAGGATTCAATGTTCTTATATTCTAACACGCAATAACATTCACAACAAGCATGATTTCGCTATTAATCACAGAGACAGTCGGGCAAGGCAGGAAATGGCCAGATACTTCTCGTTAGAGTCGCCGAAAAGTGTTTTGTTTGCAAAATACTTATCTCTTAGTCCGTATAATGTGTATGTTACACAAACGACCTGAAGACACCCTCTCATCGTTCGACCTGCATGATTCTTGCGGGACTGTAAACTCTTTCTCGCTTGCAGATTTCTATCTGTATACGTACAAAATAACTAAGGCATAATTTACAGATGAAACAAAGGTATATGTATATGAACCACTTTGTTTATGGCACCAAATAGGGACAAATGCCCCCGGCCGCGATCCTCACGGTGGTCTTCTCCTAAGAAATCTGTAGTCTTCTCGTGGTCTATATTGTGCTCAACTTCGATGTAGCGCTGAGAGGTTATCATGAGGCTCTCTCGTCCTTCTTGCCGTAACGCTTTTGGTGGTCGCCTCCGTTCCTAGAAGGCCTATTTGGTATTTATTCACTTCAATCAGGTGAACAAACGTAGCAGCGGCGACAAACCGCAAATCAAAAAGCTCTGCTTATAGAATAAAGGAAAATGGAAAGAACGGTGTACGTATTAGTAGTAAGAGTAAAGTATTGCTAGTGAGCATTTTGGATCACTTTTCAGTTGGAAAATCTATTTTAGACGCTTATAGGTTTCTTCAATCGGCCTTCCTCCATGAGAGAAGGATGAAATGAAACTGAAAAATTATACTCCATATCTGAAATTGAAATAGAATTTATGTTGAAATACATGGGCTCATGCGATTTTTTTTACCCATTATTGTTTTTTTTTTGCTTCATATTGTATACAGACGTTAATATGCTGATGAATCTGACCTTTAGGTGGCCTTAAATCAACATTCCCTTTTTTATTAAATAGTAACTCATCCTTATTCAGAAATAAATCATTAGAACTAAATAGTGAAGCTCAGCAGATTTATCTTCCGCGATGCAGTAACAGGGCAACGAAAAAAAATTATGCCTTTCTAAGGCATTACGTTTGTTATAGGTTAGATGCAATTCTCTTGAGCATTCAAATTGTCTTCATTGTGTGGATGTTCGTTTCAACTAACACGAAGATATATATCGTCCTGTTGATCTGTCATTTAAACCATCGATTGCTGCCTACGTTATGTCTATTGTTCTTGTAATTACCCCAGCCATTTGTCTGATCCGCTATCCTCTGGATCGTTATGATCGTTCTGCCGTGTTCTCTATCAGATCCCAAGTACAATGGGTATGAGAATTCAGTGCGCATAAACTGTGCAGATACGTGAGTACAGGTCATCTTCCATCAACAGATTAGTATTTGTCTGACGGATGCATCCAGTATAGGACATCACTTACAACTTAAATAACACATTTGGCTAATCAAGATGGGCTATGTAACTCTGATCGCAGTAGGTTAGGAAAAATGCCTCTGGACAACAAAGTGAACGTGGACATTGAAAGGAAACAATTGTATGCAAACCATTGACTCTAGAGTACTTAGCGAAGAAGGCATCGAATCCCTTGTCGGTGCAACAGAGTATTTTTGAGGTGTGTTGCCAGAACGATGAACCTACATTCCTATAGCTATTTGTTATCTAAAATTTATTTAGTGGACAGTAAACAAGCGAAGTATCTACTATGCAATACGACTTAGATTAGAGGCTACATTCATAGATACAGAAGTAATTTCCTAACAAATAAATGCTCTGTAGACCGTCTAAAGATCCGTGAAAGCGAGGAACGGGCGGGGGGAGAAGAAAGTAGACGCCGTAACAGCACGACAGCGATACACAAATTTGAAAGTCGTGAGTTTCTTCGACGTTGTCATTGCAGGCAACGAACAACTGCGTAACAACGATGGACTACAGCCATCCGGTGCACTGGCCCTCTAATGCCAAGCTATTATTATGACGTATGTCAATAGGATCTCGTTATGGCTTCATGCGAAATTCAGGCGACCATCAGATTATAAGTATATTCGTATACATACTTCTCGAGCTGTTAAAGCCATTCGTGGGATTTCGTATCGTCCGTTTTCTTACAGAAATATATCATTTGTTGAAGGTGCACTGATCAAGACATCTGATAATCGCGTCTATCTTCCTTCGAGCTTCGACTCAAGCTATCGAACTCCTCAATATTATTAAACAAAAGCGAGAAACAAAGTGTTTTAGTTAGAGTTATGTTACGATACAGAAAATCGTTGTGGTACACTCTGGGCTCTCGTCTTCAGTATCGGCCTTACGCTTGAACTGGGAAGCAGTAGGGCCCGAAATAGGGGTATGGATAGCTGATGGCGTCCTGCCCATTTTTCGCTTAACAGCTCGCTATCAGTGCCATGATGCTTCACAAAGTGATTAGTTTTCTGGTTGTCGTCTTTGTGCCGTTGAATTGTACATTGCCCTTCCATAGGGACACAGACACAGTCCGTCTTTTTGAGTGAGCAGGGAAACAGACATTGTAACAATGATCGCAACGAAGAGGGCGTTTTATCGAGAGCAAAGAGACGCGAGTTAGCCTTCTGAGGCTCGTGCATATCCCTTTGTTCGAGAAGGTAGATACCTAGTCATCGCCTACGCGTTGAACGGATGCAGTTTTGTGTCGATAATGGGAACCAGTATAATTAAACTAGGACGGGTGTGTCTTGGTCGAAGTTGTCTTTAGGCCGTTTGTCCTCTAGCATAGACCAAATTGATCTGTCGTTAGGCCGGAATAGATAAGGGACCTTGCAGGTATCGAAACGAACCCCTTGAATATCTCTTACAGCGGTAGCAGCCTTAAGCAATCTTCAAACATTCTTAGACATTATAGTTTTCCATCCAAACAGTCTAGGAAGATCTGATAGAGTATTCTTGATCGTATTCTTTATCTGAGACCATCAGAGAATGGAAGTGTGTCACTACACCGTATCTATATCAATGGATCCATTTAAAAATACGATTGTTTCTCAGCAAATAAATCAGAGCCGGCAGCTGTTGGATCCGAGTCGATGAGAAAGAAACGTGCGAACTGCGTAGAAGAGCAGTCAACTAAGTGAATAGCAGTCTCTAACATTTATACTCAAAAGTGAATTTACTCACCCAGATATGTCTGCACACGAATTCCTTCCCGGGGATATTGATTTTGTACAGTATAAACTGAAAAATTGGCCGTCTCAGTGGCAAAAGCCTTTTGCGGGAGGTGTTGTGAGTCGTGGCGTCGGGCCTGACCATGTCAGCAGACTTTCTTTTCGTCTATTTACAAAGCGGCGCGAACTGGGCAAAACTACATATATCAGATGCTCTCGTACGCTCTAGGGGCACGACGTAATGTCAAGCAACGCTTGCTAATAATAGCTATACGAATTATGGTAATGTCTATCTAGGCTAATGACACGGACATGAATTAGATAATTCAAAAGAAAAAAAAAACAAGAAGGAAAGCTATCATGACCATACAAAGTATACACGAAAGCTCATTGGCTGCCCCTCTTCTTATGACAATTAAACTGTACAAAAACAACGTTTGTGAACACAACGGCAGAAATAGTAGTACATACAGCAACGATCAACGATCCGTTCTGTATAGAACAAAACACTCTGTGAATTCATGTGTGCTTATGTACACAGCGGGGGCGACAAATCCGGTGCGCAATCAACAATCGCATCTGTTCTAGCTTCCGCACCTGTACCATTATGGTCTTGCGCCGAGTCTACGTTTGTTCTGTCTGAGAGTATTACGCCGACCCAATCGCCGCCCAGTCAAGCGCATAGCGAGTGAAGAAAAACGGGACGCTCCTGGTCGAGGCCTATCGGCAATGTGAGCGTTGAAACGCCGAGCTACAGAGGGTATCTCTCGTAGAGGCGGTTTAGGTGGGTTTCCCTCTACAGTTTCGCCGGTGACAAAAACGAAGCTTAGTTTACAGAATGGTAAAATATAGAAATAGACCGTGAGGGTGGTACCGGCGCGTATGATGACTGCTGTAATGACTGAGCCGCCAGTTGAATACACCGAAAGCAGGAACGCGTCAAGCAGAAGGAACAAGGGTCGTTCGGGTAGTACCACCATACAGCTATTGGTAATTGTTTATTTTTTTCTTTGTTGATATCCCACGAAGAAGTAGGAGAAAAAGAATGAAAATACGGGAAAGGAAGGAAAATAAAGGTGCGCATAAAATAAGTAGAATTCGTATCACTGGTACTAAACAAAAAAGAATCCGAAGAATTTGCTTTTTGAGCTCGTCGTGTTCGGCCGTAGGCGCGGTGGTAAAAAGAAGGCCCTTTGAAGGCAGAGTGATCAGCCAAAACGTAGGTTCGGTCCCCTCGATTGCCCGCTAATTCATTCGAAAATCGCTTGTGTCTATCTCATAAAGATTATTCATTGTTTGCAGTGCTGACTGAACGAGCCGATTCAGATAGCATACATGAAGAAGCCCACATTATAGCGGAATACTGAAAACTATTTTGCTTTGCTTCAAATAGTTGCATAGAATAGTCATATATTTAATCGTATGTTTAATGTTTATCTTGTACAAGTTGACGCTGCTCTTTTCCTTGAGGTTTATCATTATTGGGTCAACAGTTATTAAATCTAAAATTAAACGTATACGCGCACCAAGATTTTTCGCTTGGGTATTTTTCTAATATATGTGTTTGTTTGAAGTTTACTTTTTATTCGTTATAGGCTACACGAGCATACGAGGCTGATTTCCTTCCATGCTTAGGTACCTTTAGGATTTTAACTACGATCACAGGTTAAACTTATAGTCTTTGGCCTTAGCTCGTTACATTTCTACCTGAAATTAAAATGCATTTAACGCTTAAGGAATGGTCGTTTCAGTTTAAAAAAAAATTAAAACACACGATGCAGCGTCGAAGGTCAGTTGATGTGGCTTAGGCAGACTGAAAGCTACGCTTTGACTATCTAAAAGCCATAAAGCTCTATTTGTTCCTAAGGAAACGAAGGACCATCCGACAGGCGCAAAATCATTCCCAGCCCCCGTTGTGGAGGTGCGATCACGATCAGTTACTATAGAAAGGCCTTCCCGTTCGAAATTGCCGTGACTAAGGCTTTTTGGCTAATACAAAAAAGAGCATACAAGCTGCATCTAATGTCGAACAACAAGGACTCCCTTCGAATTTTTCATAGCGAAAAGGTTATACCAGATGAATCTGTACGTACATTGTTTTAAAACGAAACTATCATGTCGAAGGTAAAATTTTGGACTATGTGCCTCGTAAACGTGAACTAGCAGGCCAACTTGGTCGAGTATTAGACAGTTGTGCTGCACGTGCACGTGAGAGAAATGCATGTAGACAAGAGGAACTAAAGCTAACTTTATGTTTACGGTAATAAAATGTCTTTAAAACATTGTGAGAATTTGCCGTGACATCCTGTCAATACTAGGCTCATCTTAGCGTTTCGTGACCTGTAACGAACGGCCAAGCAAACTAACCGGAAACTTGTTAGGACCACACCTCTCACATAAACGCCACAAAGCATATAAAACTGATACTGTATTACCTTACAGGTGGTATATTTGTATGATGGCAGTAATCATTTGTCAACAAATGTATTCCTGCGTAGACAAAAAACACATGGTAGTCTCCTTCAGTGCGCCATGATCAACCTAATAAAGGCTTCAAATTGTACACAGTTGTACTAAGGAGACAATTTTTTTTATAATAAGTTGAGTAGTCTTAAGGTTATATAATTAATAGTTTAATACCAGAAACTATGCGACGTTTTGCCTTTTGGCAATGAGATTTAAATTACGTTTAGATATCAATGTAGGATACATACTAGATACTGATCTTTATTGTCGCGATGTGTAAAGACGTGAAGATGATGTCGATAATAATGGTAGACAGATCGCTATCGAAAAGTCCGAACGAACATCACCTGCTGCCAGTCTTCTTAGATTACGAATGCCCTCGTGTACCCCGACCCTCTCATGGTGCACATTATCATCAATGACCCTTATTGGAACACCACATTTCGTATCCATCGGTGTGTCTTAGTCCTGATCAACGGACGACTTGGGTGGTCGGTGAGATGCTCGATCAAACACTACTCAATAACACTAACAGAGAAAAAAAAAGCATTAGCAAGAAGTGCAATAGTGGTATCCTCGAAGACCAACAGTCAACACGCTGTTGCCGTTGATCGAGTCCGTGGATCTGAACGTCGTTGGCAGTGTGCACAGGAAGTAACGGCGGAAAAATAGTACCGCCTGCTAAATAAGTACTAATTTTATATACTGGCTGGCCAGATTTCAAATTCACCCGCTAAAAGTCGACGTTCGAAACAACAACTATGCTCTATATACTGTATACAAGTATATTCGCTAACTCACTATAGTATATACATACCCTGTTTAGACAACTGCACTGCGAAAATTCGTTCAGGTTTGCTGGTACGTCGTTTTCTCAACGCTGTTTTTTAATGTTAATTCAGCGGAGATGTTACGAAATATTGCGATCTTTTTCTCTTTTATTTATTAGAAAGGTGTTATAATGTACGCAGCTGGATTTAATAATCTTCTTCTTCTTCTGTTCCCCGATTCGGTGTCCATTTTAGCTTGCTTATCTATATATGAAAGGCTTTCAGCGCCGCAGGTGGCCTAATCTGATTCTTCGCTTCCTATGGAAAAAAATGAGTCGCGGTTAAATTTCACAAGGAGATACGACGCACGATCGGCTGCCAAACGAAACCAGACCAGTATATAGTCGCGATTAGGAAAATGTTAAACGTCTCTGTTTGCGCGTACAAAAGCAGCAAATAAAGGAGGAACAATGATGATAGAAACAGAAATCACAAAATCGTTAACAACAACAACGCTGGAGGTCATCATCGTACTGGTCATATTCGGTCATCTAATGTTTGTCTGTTGTGAGATAATGAGGAGCTAATTGCCCAAATAGATGGTTTATTTGTAGATGAATCGTTGGCTTTGGCAACCCGCAAGTGAGAAGCAGCACAGAAAATGGTGCGACCTAGCTGTTATCCAACTGCCGATCTGTGATCAGAACGCAGAACTAGCGTGCACCAATATATAGCCGTAGAGAGAGATGACAAATGCTAAGCTGACGTAAATTATCTGTCTGTATCCTGCGCTAATCGGCCGAGAAGTTTTTAGATAATACAGAGCGCGTGCGGAGCAATCGTTATAGACGGGAAACTTCAGAGGCGGACGACGTAATTCGGTTGTCGGTGAATTGCATGACGGAGATGAGATAGCATTGATTTTCTTGGAATGATTTCATTTTGAGAACCT